ACGCACCCGCTTCAACACACCCCTCACACGTTTCTTGGCATCAGAAGAAGCTCCACCGAAGGCCCCAGTTGCTGCGTTCGTATTCGCCCGCCACACCCATGTCGGCACACCGTTCACACGTTTCGTGGAACGATAGGGAGCTCCACCGAAGACGATACCCACAACTGCGTTACTCACCACTGCTTATGGTTGGGTTTTTCGCCAGGCTAATTCCGTACTCCTTTCGGGCGTCCAAAATGGCACGCCGAGCGGCGTACGTTCTCGTGTCACCTACGGCGGGCGCACAGCGTCAGTACGGGAAAGTGGCACCAACACCAGCAGCGAGCAGGGAGATGCCAGAGCGTCCTGCCCCTCTGCTCCAGCAGCCCAGGGTTTCATCCGACCAGCAGGGCGAGGGAATCAGCGGCATCACGATTCTCACTGGCTACCACGCGCTGGTGCGGACGCTGCACCCACACATCCAGACGTACCCGGGCGGAAGGAAAGTCAGCAAGCTTTGACGAATCATCGAACCCAGCTATGGCGACAAGGATGCGGCCTGCCCAGAGTCGTTCTCCCCAAGAGCCACATTCAGGGATGGTTGAGAGTGCTCCCAAGTGGAAACGAAAAAGCACGATTAATAACGAGGACAAGCACGACGACGACGATGACGAAATTACCAGGGACGCAGGCCGTCTGCTCGGGCAGCGGGCGGGATTGCCGAAGGGTGGGTTTGGCGCGGCCTTGCGAACCCGTACTTTCAGGGCCGCCCATGGCACAGCTCGCGTCGCGCGCCTTCTAAGAATATTTGTCCCACGCGCGAATATGACCCGCCGCGCAGGCAGCTAACGAGTTCGATGCTGGCCCGCTGCAAACGTCTCCGACGGTGGGTTCCCCCCCACCCCCCTTTCACACACACACACACACGCACGCGCTCACTCACTCACTCACTCACTCACTCACACACTCGCACACACACACACACGCACACGCACACGCACACGCACACACACACACATACGTACACACACCACATACATACACATACACACACCACACGTGTTTCGCCACCGCGTCAGCCTTGTAAGTCGAGGCGGTTATAATACATTGTAGCGTTTTGCGGCATTTCTGTCAGCCCAATTTTGGACAACTGTCGGCGCTTGCTCATGAGCCCTGCTGCCCACACAGATCGGCTTACGTCGCCCGCTTTGCGACCACTGTGGGAACGACTAGAGAAGATCAGCTTTTCTTGGAAAGGGCATCGGCCCAGGGCTAAACCTGTCCCCAGTGCCAAGTTCGAAAAGGGCCAGCGAACGTCTCTTGCGATGAATGACGGGGTCGAAGAGGGCCGGCGAACAAGTGGCACGTGCGCCATGGCTCTTGCCCAAAAAGGGAGGGGGAGGAGGAGGAGGTGGAGGAGGAGGGGGGAGGCTCCACTTGGGGGCGCTGGGGACCACTGGGGGGCGCTGGGGAGGCCCCACTGGTGGGGGGGAGGGGTGCGTCGCGAAAAATAAACTCGTGGAAGGGGGGGGAGAGGGTGCGTCGCGAAAAATAAGATCGTCGGGGCTGGGGGGGGCCCACTGGGGGGCGCTGGGGGCAACTGGGGGGCGCTGGGGA